ATATATGGACGTATTTCCGCCAAACGGAAATGTGTGCATTAAGACATGAGCCCTAAGGCCCATAAGAATATATGCATAACAGGGTTCACCTCTTAATGCACATAGTTCCGTTTGGCAGAAGTGCATCCATTTATATGTATTTGAAAATACTCATTTATGTTTCTACCGGTTTCAGGACATTTTGTCCCCGATTTTTTGTCCGCGCACCTTTGTCCAGTAGTTTACGCCCTCACGTAAAATAAGCAACAGTGACTTGGTCCAAGTGTTATATTTTAGTCGGTATGTAAAATTATATTGACAATATAGAAATGAGAAATTGAGAGAGTAAGAGGTGTTGTTATGGTTGCTCATTTTCTAAATGAAATGTTATTACTTTCTCCTTTTGAATCATCTTTATAAATTGTCATTGGTGAATATTTGGTATTATTTCTATCCTAAAAATATTTGATGTACAATATACCTTATATATGTATACGCACTTTTTTTATTTTTTTAATTTTTTCTTTATGAAATTATTACTTCATTTTGAAAACTTTTATATTTTTAAAACGTGGCAAATATTTGTAAAACCTTTTCCAATAAGCGACATTATTCTCAATGAGCCGCAGTTGTGCCGACAGAAACGGCAAAAATGGATAAAAGAGGAAAAAAAAACTAAGAAGCACGCAATCTTTAGTTTTACACATTTGTACATCGATCTTTTAGAGTCAAATACGTCAAATTTTGTGCGTTTGGTTGCCGGTACACCTCGCTGCAGCACAATAAAAGCACAAAATGTAAATGAAAAAATTAAAGTGCTTTAAAAATCATTAAATTTGACACGGAACCACCAATATTTAAAAAACACACATTATATTATTATTCTCCTTTGATAAATTGATACATATTTTTCCCATCAATTTAAATGAGAATAATCAATGCAGAGTGTGCAAACATTTCAAAATCATGAGTTAAAAAACGCTGACTATGCGAGTATAAATATTAAAGCCTAACAGAGCGGAGCGGCATGCTGCCAGCGCGACAGGCTCACTGGCGCCTACAAACCTAAGTGGATACTTCACGCATTGCGCAATGCTTGAAGTATCCACTTAGGTTTGTAGGCGCCAATGCGCGTTTCGTGCTGGCCGCCCGCCTGCCGTGCGGCGGCGCCTAGAGCAACTATTTCACAACAGAGGTGTTAGGTTTTGTACAGTATTATGCGAAATTGAACGTATTAAGAATGACAGGCATCCTTTAAAAGTACAGATCTTTCTTCGCAAAATAAATCAAGATACTCATCGTACACAGGAAAAATCTAAGAGCCTTTAGCTGAGGCAAATATAGAGGTTAATCCGGTTCAGGTATAACAAGATGGGAATTTCTTGAAAGATAATTAAGTCCTGTTACACCAAAGAGGTGCAGAGAGTTTTAGTGAATTTTGTCACATGGAATTGACGCTCCCCCATTTTTACCAAAACTCTCAACTACATTTTATTCTCCGTTGGACCAAACAGACAAAACAAAAAAACAAGCAAACCCTCATTCTTCCGCAAGACATTATACATTTTCAATCAAAAACGTCGTGAGCAATTTTCGTTTGTATTTACATGTGGGCCAATTAACTTTGGGTCTCAACTGACACGTGGACCAAAACTCCCGTGCTGAAAAATTGCGTGGACGTAAATTACTGGAAACAACAGGTGCGCGGACAAAAAATCGTTGACGAAATGTCCTATAACATTGCTACCGGGAGACAATACGTAAACTTATTGGCAAAAATCGTAAGCTCGGAAGTCTATTTCAATTTCGCCGAATAGGTAACAAACTTACCTGGAGCAGGAATATACCGTCGATGAAACTACCAGACCATGTATCTAATTCGCGATGTTTGAAAATCTCCGCTCCCATCTTAATTTTTGAAGGAGAACAAATCAATATCATTCCTCGAAGTTTAAACAGAGTTTTCTCCTCACAAGGAGGAATAATCAAGGAAGTTTTCAAGAATTTTTGTTGAGAAGTTTTTCAGTAAAAAACTAAAGTATGAAAGAAAGTCTGTAACGTCGCGACCCGAGATACGTGGTTTGGTAGCGTTACCGTCAATATAAAGTTATCTACAAGAATATCGTAGACTTATCTAGAATCATAAACTTTGGACGAATCCTCGGACAATGCGTGAGCCAATCGGCCGTGTTCTCCAGACGAAGTGTCGATGATTTTGCCACCATGCGTTAAAAGTCATTACGAAACTGAAATCATCGTCACTCTCTTTACGTATCACAAACATTCTGTCTAAACTAGTCGAGCATCGAGCCACATTCTGCTCGTAGCAGATGTTGTGTGCTTGAGAGTCGCCCTCAGATTTGCGCATAGGCAACAAGCTAACCATGGAGCACCCATCGAACAGGGTTTGAAGCTTCTTCATTCTTAGTAGCTTCCACCGATACTGTAGCTCGATATAATTTTTTGCAATTTAGGGGTCTCTGAGTATTAAACTACCTTTTAGAGAGAATCGTTCATGCTCAAGCTGCTAACTGGGGCACATTATGAAACATTTTTTGTCATTTTTTCCTCGAGCTGAATCTTTTTCTTATAAAATATCTTGCGTGACAACTAGGAATGTTCTTAAACAGCGACAACAACTTAAATGCAACATTTTGATTTACGAATATTAATGTCACTATTAACGCAGTGGCGAGGCGTGAATGATCGATCATCGATATTCCCCCATTTGAAGCAATGGCAAAGAATCGATTATTAAATTGTCCGTTGCGAACACCCTATTTATCGATCCTTTTCCATAGGTTTAAACAGTAGATCAATCGATAAATCGCAATGCACACCACGCCACTGCATTAATGAACATGAGAGGCATTACGTATTTTAAGGGCTTTATTACGCTTTACTAAGCGAAATTCTAACTTCATGTGTCTTTCTTGAAATTTCATCCTAAAGTTTTTCATTTCTAAAATATTTTCTTTTCAAACGGTTAAAATTGCTATCCGGAGGGTATCATCCTACAGATATTACGATTTTTTTAAGGTTTGAATCGATTGTTTTCACATCGTTCTTATTAATTTTTTTTTTCAGTTTTGCATGGATTTATTCTAATGAACAAGGTGGTTCAATAATTGCGTTGAAAGGTTATCAAGAATGATAACTATTATTTTAAAAATATGGAAAGCATAATAATTCCAAAGCTGATTAAATATGGTCAATAAATTACACATGTAAAAATTGAGATAGGACCTCTGCTGGAAAAAAAGGAAGAAAAAACTAACGAGAGAACTTAAGTAATTGTCGGATCCAATTCCTCTCTTATTTTTAGTAAAAAATGGGTTAGTAGTAAAAAAGTGGGTACTGAACATTGAGAAAATGCAATGACTTAGGCTTAAAAGTTTTGAAATCTTAGAAATGATCTTTTGGTTTGTTCATTGCTGTAGCGGTTTTAAACTTCACTCACATCGTTTCCCACTCGTTCTGATCAGTTCGCCTTCAATAATTGGACACGCAATATAAGTGGCGTGGGAACAGTAATAGTTGCTCGCAGCAGTTCGACGACGCTTTCTTGGTTTGTTCATTGCCGAATTCACGGCTTAATACTTCACTCTCATTGTTTTTATCTTGTTCCGACCAGTTAGCCTTCAATATCTCGATACGCAACGTGAGCGACTTTGGAGTAATAGTTGCTCGCAGCAATTCAGTCACGTTCACTCGGTTCACTCATAGCTAGCTGTAGCGGTTTAAGGTGAATCGAGGGTTCGATTGGGAATAATTCAAGATTTTTCACATTCCTTCGACGATTACTGAAGTAATATTGCTCCAATTACAAAAAGCAGATTCACAAGATATAGATTATTTTTTGCAGCCTCCGGAATTTTCTGCCACCAAGCTCGTTGGCTCCGTCACCAACTTTTTCTGTCTTGATGACTTGTGCGTCTACTGCAATCAGTTTGCCAAAGATTCGGTCGATTTGACACGAGGAAATCTAACACCAAAAAAATCAACCAACAGCTTGTGCTACTTTGTGTTAACTTCCTATATTAACACAAGATTTCGGTCACTTTTTCTTGCTGTGTACCCCAATTTGTTGGATTCTACGGACAATTCCAATTAGTTTTGGTTGGACCGCAACATTTGGGTCAGTAAACTAATTTGTCGGAGTACTATCACAATTAATTGGGGCACTACCATGATTGATTGGAAATGTCCAAGTTGGACTTAACCCCTTCCTCCTTTTTTCCGTGGCTCTTAGATAGACATTTTAAGAACTTTGGGTTTTATAAGGACTGAAGAAAAGTAAAAAAATAATATAATTCAGAAGTAATAAGTAAAAAGCAGGGAAAGGGGGGGGATCCCTCAGATTCTTGGAAGGCGATCGCCTTCTATCTCTCCAAGTCAGCCTTCCTTTGCATTGTGAGTAATATCTTGTGTAGTTGCCTTTTTAAAGTTATTCTCTTGAATTTTCCTCGATGCGCATAAAAATTGTCCTTTTTGTGATGATACGATAAGGACGTCTTCAAACCCACCTTAATTACCATGTCAACCATATGGGGGCCCCCTAGACAAGGGCCTATTTCAGGCACGGCCATGAAGGTATTCATAATAACCTTCTCTTCTATAGCAGAATTCTGAGAAGTGAGCCTTGATGGAATTCGCTGTAGATTCGGCATATAGGTTAGGATTGAGTGTGAAAGGGTGGACGTGAGAGGTGAGCGCGGCGGC